CAAACATACGAGAACGTAAACTGTGTGCATATATTCCAGCGATCTATAGGCATTGGAATGTTCGTTTGCCTCGCGGTTGCAGTCATTTAATCGCTATTGTCTTTTTTTATCTGTCTACATTTTCACACATATTCTATTTTTAGTTTCTGCGAAGCTCATTTCGTTACAATGTTGCAGGCGTTTATTGCGTCGTTTTTTAATTGGAAATTGGTTGAATGTTAATCAAGGGGCAATCCACTCAAAAGTAATACATAATACCTGCGAAGTAATACGAAGTAATACTAGGTAAAAGTGGTATTACTTTTGATACCGCTATACAGAAAAGTATTTTTTTTTCAATGTGTCCAAAACGCATGAATACGGCATCGCATAAGGCAGTTGTAGTAAAACGTGTTTACTATTGCAATATCGTATACTGCGGCAACGCAAGCAGAAAATTATCGCGCGATATTTATGCGATAACTGCCTTATGCGATGACGTATTTATGCGTTTTGGACACATTGATTTTTTTTACTGAAATTTCATACATAATGAGGCAAACGTGACTTTTTGACATTGATATGGAAATGTTCGCTAGTCAATTTGTTATTTTGATCCAAAAAATTGTTAGCGCTTCAACGAAAAATAGCAAAAAGAACCAACATTCGACCGCATCATGCCCAAAAATGTGTTGCAGAAAAGAGATAATTTCCATTGAATTTGTGAAAAACTTGTTTCATCGCTAAAAAAACTCACTTTGAATGAACTCAATCATAATTCATTTTAATCTATTGATACCGATTTTTCGACTTTATTTATGTCCATGCTATTTGAACTAACCAAGAATTTTGACGAAAAATTGCGATCGCAACTGGTATCAGTTGAATCGAACCCAAAAAAAGTCCACCAAAATCGAAGCAATATGTTCAAATAAATGAACAATTGAAATATTGACATTGTTCCACAATGAATCTGTCACAGCTGTTACACATTTGTCGTATGCTCAAATGAAAGCAATTGTTAAGAATCTTTTTTTCCAAGCAACATTTATCGTCAGAGGCGAAGAAAACATAAAACTTAACGATAAAATAAATGAAGAAATGTTTCTGAAATCAGTTTCAAATCATTTTGCTGCTTACATGCATATATGAAAGCATATTTGGGTCTAATTAAAACAACAGTTCACATAAAAATGACGTAAACGATGAACTCATTTCCTCACATTCATGTTCTTTCCCATTCAATCGTCTCATGTTCATACGCCGCATAAAGTTTAGAGCACTGAAGCTTACCGAAAAAAAACACTCTCTGACATGACAGAAGGCTTTGAATTTGATGCTGAGTTACGAATGTCACAAAGGAATTTCTTTGGAAAAAGAACGATTCATCAAATGTATATTGCAGTGTCGAATTTCGGCTGTTTACAAAAAAGAATATGAACAGCAATTTGCAGTGAACAAATATTATGCAGGATTTTCACAGCAAATCAAGTCGAATTTTATTGACGTAATAATTTCTGGAGCATTGAGAAAATTTGAATTTCTATCAAATGAAACGATTTCAATACAACATTTCTACGTATATTCCTTCTTTGTTCGTTGTAACGAATGATATGTCAATTCACTTCTATAGGTAACTTAACAAGAGCGATTATATTTTTTTCGAGTATGAGCAGAGCACATTGAGAGGAACATCGGTCAAAAAGAAGAGAGAACCATTAATTAACTCATTCATCAAGAGAAAAAAGTGCCTTATAACCACCAGCCCGTGAAGAAGCACCTCAGATAATAATTGAATTCTTGCAGCCCACTTGTAGCCATTACAACATTCACTTTATTTAGTTTGGTCAAAAATGCTTCAGAAACACGGAAAATATTGTTCAAGTCTCGATTATCCATGTACTGTTGGAGAGTGGACCCAAATGTCATGTATGAAAAGTATGCAGTTGCAGTGACAGTGCATCAAAACAACATTGATGAATATTTTTGAACATTGTTCAGCACGTTGATGAGCCAAGTTTCAGCTATTTCGAACAATTTCTAGATAAACACTTGGCTATACCGTTCGACAATTTACACTGATGCCGACCATTCCATCGATAGTGTTGATCGACATTCTGTTTCGTCCATTGAAAGAACACGATTTCTGTCTCAAAAATGAAATACGAATGAAGCAAATTGAAAACACGCTACTGCAGCGTCGCTGCAATAAAAATTCAACCTTGGACGTGGTAAAAGTAGACAGTACGATTATCATCAGATCGATCTGCACCTACTGTCAATGTGTTCGACCATCGGATCTGAAAAAAAAACATATGCTCTGAACAAAGCGTGAACAAAAATGAAAAAATCCAATGCTTATTTGTTTTGATGAAAAATGTTTTTTTTTCTTAATTCATTCAATGATTAATTTTATGATTGAGTCAAAAGTTGTATTCTTCTTTCTATGAACAATTTTCTATGACAGCCACTTTTCTGTTGGACTTAAATGAGAAGAAAATAACAATAAAATGTTTAAAAAAAATAAGATTTGACTTTTGGTAATACAAATATTTTTCTCTGGTCAAAATGGATAAAACGTGTGAATGCGATGCAAACTCTGATCTAATAGTCGGAGCTTGAGTCATCCGAATCGGAAAATTTGGAGTAGCCAGTGTACGAGGATGAGATGCATGAATATTGGTCGTCATCGCGTTTATTTCCCTTTGATTCGAATGGATCGTCTTCGAATGGCAACGGTGGTGCTATTTGAGCATTGATCGGCAAGTGTTTTCCGGGCACCAATTTCACGCAAATTTTTTCACATACATGATCGGCACACAAGAAGAACCAACGACGGACATAGCTTAGTGCACAGTGTCGTGTTACATCCTCATTTTCATGGAAATCACATGAGATATTCGGTGTGGCATCGTAACGATCCTGTTCGATGAACGAGTCGCTGACTGTTATACGAATTGGATCGACACTGAGTCCAGCCTTAGTCTCGACTTCGACCTTGTTTTTGAGTCGATTGAACAATAAGTTGAAATCGAAGACATCAAATGTGTTCTGCCATGTGTGGTCGGACAATTGATCCAGGATTGATTCAATCATTTCAATGTCTTCCCTGCGAATGAATACGCACGGTCGTCGTTCATCATTTTTTTCGAACTTTTGACCAGGCACCACATCCAACACACCGAGAATGGTTGAATAGATCTTTTCGTAGTCTTTCTCGCCTAGCGCATTGGGCGGCGGTGGCAATCGATGCACCTTTTCGGAACGATCCTTTGCTTCGAAAGCATAACCAATGGTAACAGTGCCTGTGGATAGAAAAGAGTAAATAATGAGAGTTGAAAACATTTTTCAATTTTGGGAATAAATGACTCTTTTGATATGAAAAATACCTGGGTCAACAAACATTTGATGGCAGTTCAAAATTCCGTCTTCAAAAGACCACTTTGCGATGGCAATTTCAGCCGGTGTATACTTTCCGGCATGCGTCTTGTAGAAATAATTTGCCATTATAAAAACGAATGGCCGACTTTTGATGTCTGAAGAAAGAAAAAAAAAAACAAATTGAAAAATTATCCCTTAGTTGGCACATTTTGATTAAACAAACAACTTTGCACAATGAACGGTTTGACAGTTCAAATTGTTGTCATAAATAATTACAAACAATAACCTGCATTCAGACGTGTTGTTTCCAAAACATGGCCCATTTTCATAATAATGCACTTACCATTTTCCAAAAACGCATTCTCAACGATGTTTTTGATCTTTCGTTCCATGTACTGCTTCTTTTCGGCCAATTCTCTCAGCTCTCGGTCGACTTGTTCCAACGGTATACCTTGTGATGTGAATTTGGCTGGCTTGAATACAGTCCGTGCTGGTTCTGTCTTGGCCCGTTGTTTGTACCGTTCCTTTTCTGCCGCAGTTAGTTTCTGAAATGGTCGAATATTGGAAATTGTATTCATGTCGAACTAAAACGATAGCTTTGTGATAAGAAAACACCGACAACAGTTCACTACTTACATCAAAATGTGGTTTGGTGACGTTTTACTTTTCCTCCTGTGAAGAAAAAAAAATTCAATGAAAAAAACATCATCGCTCAACATTTTGCATCAATGCTATCAACTTTGACATAATAATTGTTATTAAGCTATGGCACAACTTACCGGCGGATAAATGCGTCCGTGTCGACGTTCTTCAGCCAGAAAATCACGCATGAAAATCGTAAACGCGTTTGGTTTTATTTTTTTCTTTCCCATTTTTTGTTGGATTTTATTCAATTTTTTGTGGTTTTTCACTATACAATTTCTCTTGCCGCGATTTACTTCAAGGATTTAGTGTTTATTGATTCAAAGTTGTAATCGTACTGGTTTTGCGGAGCAAAGCACAATTTTTCAGTGTGTTTTGTGTATGTAGCAACTGAACAAAGTGAAACTATGATGACATTTGACAGTATCGTCTGTTTTCCCTCCATTGTTCAGTACACGTCATACACTGACAAGCGGCATTGCAACCGATTTCCAATAGATGGCGCTAGGTGGCCCTTTTGTTGATACTAAACTGCTAGAATCTCTTCATAATCATTGAATGTTTTACGGAATCGCTTGAATTGAAAAACGTTTTTCTTTTATTTACGTCGAAATTGATTGATCATCATATTCTTCTCAATTTTGAATGGTAAATTTTTGACGAAAAAAATATTTTCCAAGAAAAAAAAAAGAATTTTAAATCTATTTTCATTTTCTTATGGGCTATGTAAGTCTAAATCAAACTGAGGCATTTATGGCGCTCTAAGACCATTGACTTATACGAATTTTTTTTGGTTAAAATTGAATTTTTAAAAAGAGATTTCGAATCGAATTGTATGAGAGATACACCATTTTTCATCATGTCAAAACTCTTCATTCAGATGCATCTGTGAAAACATTCTGAAGAGAATGAAAAACATAATATTTTACATTATCAAATGACTTGAAAAAG